TGAAAGTATCCAAATACAAAATAATAATTCTCATCGATATCTACCAACTACGTAGTTGAATAAAATCAGAGACGAACCTAAAAAAATATTAGGTAATCATGCTAAATTATATACCTATCATGGTAAAACATGAAAGTATCCAAATACAGAATAATAATTCTCGTCGATATCTATCAACTACGTAGTTGGATAAAATCAGAGACAAACCTATGAAAAAATTAGGTAATCATGCTATATGTCAAATTATATACCTATCATGGTAAAATTTGAAAGTATCCAAATACAAAATAATAATTCTCATCGATATCTACCAACTTCGTAGTTGAATAAAATCAGAGACGAACCTAAAAAAATATTAGGTAACCATGCTAAATTATATACCTATCATGGTAAAATTTGAAAGTATCCAAATACAGAATAATAATTCTCGTCGATATCTACCAACTACGTAGTTGGATAAAATCGGATAAAATCAGAGACTTAAAAAAAATTAGGTGCTATGTGAAATCAGAACCTAAAAAAAATTATATGTCAAATTATATACCTATCATGGTGAAATTTGCAAGTATCCAAATACAGAATACCGAGTGGAGACACACTCGTGTAAGATACTCGTGCTACATGTTGAGGATGTTGTATACCAGCTGCCTATGTATTCCTTGGCCAGCGAACGTCCAATTGAATCATCCAGCAGTTTTCAATCTCGCCACCCTCGAGCAAAGCGAACACGTCGAGCCGGCGGCTCGCTAATTCAGCCGACACAATGCTCGGTGAGGTCCACGTGGGCCCAGGCGACTGTGACGTCACATCATTGATAGAGGCGCCCACATTGGTGGCCGCGGAAGACGCGGGTATTGTGCCAAGAATAAACCATCGGGCCACCTTATTCGCGACTCGTCGTCGCGTGTGTGCATGCGCGATGAAAACGAAAATCGATGGAAGATCGCGATCTCCAACCAGCCGTGATCTCACGCGAGGGACCGAGGTGTGGGAAAGAGCGAACGCTCGCGACGAAAGGAGCGGGAAAAGCGATACTGGGGAGGCTGTCGAATGGACAAAGATGCAGTGAGGAACACGTAGGGACGGGAGAAGAGACGAGAAGGAGGATAGATAGAAACTCCGTTCCAGCGTGTTGGCTGGAGAAAGGAAAGATGCGAAACGTGGCGTCTCGTTCGGGAGACACACAGACGTCGGTGGCAGAGGATTGTGCAAAAGCTCGGCTAACTCTCATCTCCGTTGAGATTCGTTTCCTGTTGCCATTACGCTACCGCTGAAAAGGCGGCGGCGATGGTGTACCCCCTTCTTATGCATGCCCCTTTACGCCGCTATTGAAATCGCAAACGGAGAAAGTCGAAGGACGATTATCCGCCATGCCAGACGTACATAGGTATACCATACGTACGTACGTGCCTGTTTGTTTCTTTCTTTGCTGGTAACCGGTATCGAGTGGCGTGCTTATTAGCTGCAAGACTATAGTCTTAAACGTGGTCTCGACCACGGAGTTGATACGCGGTACTCGCTCCTCCGAGCGAAGGATTATCCGCGAGTCTCTAGGCTCTCGAAATATCTCATCGAATGACGCGCTGCTTGGGGAAAATTTTTCACGCAACCGCCGCGTATATATTACTGGAATATCTGACTGGAACTTTTTGAGAAAACAGAGACGTCGTAACTAGATAGTCGCTGTCATAATTTTGCCAATTCAGTCCAACAAGAGTGTAAACACGCAAGCATGGTAATTCCAATTTCAGCAACTTCTGACACGACCTTTCGCTTTTTCGCAAAAGAAGCCACTTTCACCGCGCGTTGTAAGAGGATCGCGCGTTCCTTTTCGTGGTTGAATCGCGCGAAATCTCATTTAGAGCTCCGGCGCTCCTACTAAACGGCGGCCTCTCGTTCTCATTCTCGAAATCGTTGAGAGGCAGCCGAGTGAATCTCTGCCGGGGCGGGCAGGCAGGCAATTTCGCAACAATACCTGCCGGGGGACCCACTCCCCCCCTCTCCAAGCCGCTTCGTTGGAGAAAAGACTTGCACCGGGGCCATTGTATCGCGACGTAGATCGCAAATTTCTAGACCCGATTCCTTTGTCGACGCGGGGCGCGCGCGAGAGCCATCGAATCCAAAGGATTTCCGGTCTGTTGCTCCTCTATCGGCCGGTCGTTACGTGGAATTCCAATTCCAGTTCCAGTCGCTTAGAGACCTCTCCGACGACGGAATTCTTCTTTCCAGTCGTTTCTTTCTTCCCTTTCTTCGAGACGACAAACGACACGTGATTTTTGAAGCAAGAAGACAGAGAGAAGCTGGGATAATGTATTGCCAAGAACAAAGGAGAACTTTGGAGGTATTTCTTCGTTAACCCCTTGCGCTGGCAACTGATTGCGGACCATAACGAGTGACCGAACCGTATACAATAAATTCGTCGCTTTCTTTTCCTTTTGAACTCGTCGGTATGATATCGCTGGACAGAAATGATCAGAAAGTAATAGACTTATCATTTGTTTTGCCTGGGTTACGTTTAAATATAACATAAAACTGAGAAAATGTTGCAACTTGGGAAAAATTTCTCGACGAGCATAACACGTCGTTACAGCGCAAGAGGTTAACGGCAACTGATTGCGGACCATAACGAGTGACCGAACCGTATACAATAATTGGTCGCTTTCTCTTTAAACTCGTCGATATGATAATACTGGATATAAATTATTGAGAAGTTATAAATTTATTATTTGTTTTACCGGAATTATAATTATATATACTTAAAGCTGAGATAATATTGCGACAAGAAAATTTTCGACGTGCGTGGCACGTCATACCAGTGCTAGAGGCTAACCATTTGCGCTGGCAACTGATTGCGGACCATAACGAGTGACCGAACCGTACACAATAATTCGTCGCTTTCTTTTCCTTTTGAATTCGTCGGTGTAATATCACTGGATAGAAATTATTGAAAAGTAATAAATTTATTCTTCGTTTTGCCTATTTTGTTTTACTTAAATATACTGAAAGCCGAGAAAATATTACAATTTTGGAACAAAAATATTCTCGACGTGCACGTCATTCCAGCGCAAAAGGTTAAGGTTTGTTTTATCACTTGCGCTGGCAACTGATTGCAGACCATAACGAGTGACCGAACCGTATACAATAAATTCGTCGCTTTCTTTTCCTTTCGAACTCGTCGGTATGATATCGCCGGACAGAAATGATCAGAAAGTAATAGACTTATCATTTGTTTTGCCTGGGTTACGTTTAAATATATATAAAATTGAGAAAATGTTGCAACTTGGGAGAAAAAGTTAATTAAACCGCGAGAGGTTAATCAACATCAAACAATGTTCTTCCGTAATTTTCGGAGCGTGAACTTTATGGAACTGAGAATAGAAGAATGTGCTGCTAATTGGTGAAAACATGGTCGCTTGACAAGTAGCAGCCACTTTCCAATCATTAACCAGGGAAGCACTTGACCTCGGTAATATATTTTCGCGTAATTGAAAAGCTGTAAAGCCGTGGACATGTTCGTGCACAAGCAACAGCAGCGGCAGAAGGGTTCCGGCAAGCGATTGCCAACATTCCACCCACGTGATGTGTCGCCAGGCGCAGGTCAGGCGGCTGTCGAGCGTAATTACGTCGAGACGAACGGCCGATTTCGACGAGTGGCACCGAAGAGATCCTCCGAAGATCCTCGAGAGCAACCATGACGACGTGTTTCCGCGCGCAAGAGGTATACACACCGGCCGAACGTATACGTCAAGGACCCTCCACTGGAAACCTAACGGACCAAATCGAGACACGCAGCTCTCCTTTTGTACGTGTCTACGTACGTGCGTGAGTGTTTGTGTGCATCAAAACTCGCGAGGTACACGAGTTGGCACGCAGACAGTCAAAGGCACGGGTCACTAGTGGATTATTTGAAGAACGCCAGCGTGTTTGTATATTTCATAACTCGCTCGTGGAGGCTCTAAGAGGGCCCATGCCCGGGGTCCGTTTCTTCCAGGGCGACAAAGGGTGGGTCCGGCGTGGTTCCCTCTTTTCCTCGTTCCGTGCCCTCTCATCGAGTGGTCCGCGCATAAACAGAGACCCCTTAAATTGCGTCCTTCCCGTGAACGATCTTTCCTCTCTCCTTTCGTTTCACTTCCACTCGTTTCTCTCCTCCACGAGAGCGACTAGGTTCACGCGTTCTGTACGCGGTCCTCGAGCATTTAGCACTGCCCCGGGCTAATTCAATTATGGGGACGCGCAATAAAAAAATATACGGAAAGCAAATACACGTGCACACCGTGTTTTTCAAGGGTAAGCGTTAAGCACAGAAAATTGTGCTGCGATATCGCGATCGAGGAGTTTAGAACGAAAATATCGTTGTGTAACGCTGTGCCTGTTTCTTAAAAAGAAAAAAAAAAAAAAAAAACTGTCAAATTTCGTCACGTTATTTGAACACTAGATACGCTGATCGTTTGAATCGTAACTGGACACGAGTTTCGAGTTTTGGAGCAAGTCATTTCACTTCTCAAGTAAAAATGTTCGCTACCGGCAAGAAACCCCAAAACTCTCAACCATAATTGTTCAGAATTTGTAATTGCGATTATTCTTCGTCGGACAAAAATTCTACCGACGATACTATTACGAATAATCGTAAAATACGGACGAAACATATTTTGAATATTCCTGCCTACAACAGGTAAATGGTGCTCGAGTGTTTCACACTTTCGGGCGCGTTCGCCTTTTCGCTTAAGAAAATATCATTATGCCGTTTATGATAATTCGACGCTGAAATGAGAGACAGAGAGAGAGAGAGAGAGAGAGAGAGAGAAACGCGTGTTTGTTTTCAAAAAACGTAATGGAGGTTAAATATTTTCTCTCGTCAAGGTTTCGTGAAACCGCGTGATTCATTTTGAAATTATTCACGTGGATTCTCGTAGATCTCTCATCTTTGGAGATCTAAAACTTTTGTCCATCCGCTGTGGTTTGTCTCGATAAGCAAGCAAGGTTGTGTCAAGCATACTCACCGTCCATCGGAAGGTGAAATGAAGTTGCAGGGTGACAGGTTCGCTGAGGGTGAAGGTGTTCTGGCCGAGGGCGTGACTAGATACGTTGCCAAAACTGCACGAGCCGATGGCAGTGACGTTCGATTGATATTCTTTCAAACAGAGCCAGAAGGCTGTCGAGCACGGTGTCGTGCACGGTGGTAGTTCTCCCTTTGCTCCGCCATCGCTTCCTCCGCCGCAACACCTACCGTCCACCAGGGTGCCCCTGTTGTTCGTCAGCGAGAGGATCTGCACCTCGAAGAATCCGCTCGCGTTCGTCGCCTGTCAACAAAAATTAAATTAAATCAGAATTAAATTCGAGTTGTATTATATTTTTCTAACATCGGTACGATAAAAACGGAGCGCTTTTTATGGTATTTAATATGTACTAGCGTGGCTACACTAAAATCATCCCTTTTCAACAAATTTTCATCGCTCAACACTCTTAATTCCTTAATTTCTTAGATCCATGTTCCAAGATATTGCTGAATTTAAATATAATTTAACATTACTTGTTAAAAATTTAAATGCATACGTATACTGGCTCTTAGAAATTTCACAAACTAATTGTACATATTATATTTTTCTAACATCGGTATGATAAATTTTTTTATGATATTTAATATGTTGCTTGGCCACTTTTCTAACATTGGAACGATAAAAATGGTACGATAAATTTTTTATGATATTTAATATGTACTAACGTGGCTAAAACGAGTCATCCCTTTTCAACAAATTTTCATCGCTCAACACTCTTAATTTCTTAATTTCTTAGATCCATGTTCCAAGATATTGCTGAATTTAAATATAATTTAACATTACTTGTTAAAAATTTAAATGCATACGTATACTGGCTCTTAGAAATTTCACAAACTAATTGTACATATTATATTTTTGTAACATCGGTACGATAAAAAGGGTATGATAAATTTTTTAATGATATTTAATATGTAGCTTGGCCATTTTTCTAACATTGGAACGATAAAAACGGTACGATAAATTTTTTATGATATTTAATATGTACTAGCGTGGCTACACTAAAACTAATCATCCCAACAAATTTTCATCGTTCAACACTCTTAATTTCTCTTAAAATCTAAATGCCTACGTATACTGGCTCTTAGAAATTTCACAAACTAATTGTACAAAATGATGTCTCACATATTAATATTCAGAATGAAGAAAACCTAACCACACTAACATAATAATTTATCTACATCGAACACTTTTCCACTATATTTCAGTTCTTCAATTCGTTTAACAAAATCTGATCAACAAAAATTACATTAAAATTGAAATTTTACTTCGTCGCATAAGATTAAAATTAATATCATACTCTGAGCCATGCTATAATTCAATAGAATAATTATATTTCGATCGAATACATAATTATCGATTATTGTAATTATTGGAAAGGACAAAATTCTTCTCAGTCAAGTAATTTTCTATTTCTCAGTGTGTATATGGAAAAATATTTCCTTCAATTGTTAGATAAACTAGACAATCGTTCACGAAATTAACATCTTTGAACCGATCGTCAAATCAGGACAATGGATAATCGAAAGGGATTCCAGCTAACTCGCCATACTTTACGTTTTGATTTCTCTAGTCTCTGTCTCTTTCACGTCTTGACATTTAGACCACTGACGGCGCATTTAGAACTGCATCAATTGCGTTCACATTAATCCAGTGGCCGTTTTTCCGCTCGATACCGACTGCGAATTTATCGGGCTCGTTACGGGGAGAAAACGATCGGCATTAAACGCAGCGCGATTTCGTCCCGACTCTTTCTATAGGGCATAATAAAACAGCTGGATTTTCCAGCTCTGGCTGTGTGAAAAACGGAAGTCTGCCCGCGGCCTCAGAAGGCGAAAGGCCTCTCGAGCGTCTGTTACGAACGCTCCGCTAACTTCCAGCCGATTCATTGGAAAAAGTCGAGCAATTTCGAAACCGTGTTCGCTTTATCTATTCGTCGATGCGCTCCCTGTTTCCCTTTTCATTCTTGTACTTTGTCCCTCGCGCGAGATTCTATTTTGCGAAAAATTGTTTCTCTAAAAGTATCCTGCGGATGTTGTACTTTTCTACTTGATAATTTTATAATTCTATTATAATAATATTTTAATAATAATTTTGATATAATTTCAATAATAATAATACAACATTCAGTCAGAAGTTCGATTTCGTAGAAAATTTATGTTCCTCGGAAACTGTTTCAAGAATAATATTTAATACAATATTCTACATATCATTGCGACTTAAATGATGATAATTGAAATAGATTAGTTAAAAAAATATCCGTGTCTTTTAAACACGTTGCAAAAAAAAAAAAAAAAAGAAAATAGATAGGTTCTGTTGTTCCATTGTTCCAAAGTCCAACTAAACTCAATATTTACTATACTTCAAAATTATTCCAAAAAGGAATCTCGAGCCATATGAAATTTCACAATATATGTAGCTCCATTCATTTAGAAAATTCGTTTCTCAATCCGACTCGATTGTCTTGCCAGAAATTTCATTTCGATCAGCGTCTGTGTAGATTGGCTGCGCACAGCTATACTCCGCACGAAAGTCCATACTTTCCCGATCACGGTCACAAAATTGCGCGGCGAATCGCGCAACCGATGCCGATGCCGTAACCCGTGGCAAATTTACATCGGCCTCTCGCTTTTGCCCGCGTACGATTAACAATAAAAGCGGCACGAAATCGTCTCGTTTCGACGACGAAGAAGTCTTCCTTTCGTCTGCCGGTTACGAAACACGGCTCTCTACGTGCGCTTCGTGCCTATCGATTTCGAATGCATCGAGTATACGCGCATTCGACATACCCGTGCGCTGAACGTACATTTATATTTATACGTCTGCGTGTGTATACTTATATATGTACACTCCTGGCCATAAGTCACCGGACACTTGCTTACTTTGATCGAAACAGAACACAGATGTACTTTTCATTAATTTTATTATACAATCTTGTTATATGTACTCTATTTACTCTATTTTGTACTAACACTTGAAAACAAAACTGATATTTAACGTGTATCGTCTGAATAAATATTTCAAAGTATATGAAAAAAATGTGTATATATTTAAAAAAATCGAATCGATCGTATTTTGGGATGAATTGGACAGGAGCCTTCAGATATGTGTTGAAAATAAAAGAAAAAAAGACTTATGGAAGAAATTAGAAGAAGCGTGGAAAGAAATTCATTCCGAAATATTATTAAAATTAAACGGAAGTGTGCCATGGTTATTTCTGGCCTTCATATTTGTACAAAGATGTTCGATACATTATATACAATTTGGTAAGATTTTTGACATATAAAACAGTTTGACGTATAGAATATGACATGAATATAGAATCTTGCCAAGTTGTATATAATGTATCTTATATCTTTGTTCAAGTATGAAGGCCAGAAATAATTGTGGCATACTTTTGTTTAATTTTAACAATATTTCGGAATGAATTTCTTTCCGCGCTTCTTTTAATTTCTTCCATAAATATTTTTTTTTAATTTTGGACACACTTCTGAAGGCTTCTGTCCAATTCATCCCAAAATACATCGATTCGATTTTTTAAATATATACACATATTTTTCATATACTTTGAAATATTTATTCAGACGATACACGTTAAATATCAGTTTTGTTTTCAAGTGTTATTACAAAATAGAGTAAATAGAGTACATATAACAAGCTTGTATAATAAAATTAATCCGGAAAAGTATATCTGTGATCTAACTGTTTAGATCAAAATAAGCAAGTGTCCGGTGAATTATGGACGGGAGTGTACGTGTGTCTATAGAGTGTCGCAGAGTTTAGCCGAGCTTTGTCAGTCAGTCAGTCGATATTCGATCAAAGAATGTCAAAAGAATAGGTATATAAACGGTATTAAAAATACGAAATACGAGGGGAACAATATGTTAATGATTTCCAATTATTATATTTAAAGAAACAGGGAAATGTGTCGAGTAATTTTGTATAAGAAGCTGACTGATTCGTTGAGATTCGTGATTGTCAATTCGAAATGGTGATTATGTATCGTGGTCCTAAATTCAGAAAGATTCTATGATTGAAATAAGAAGGAAACCAAGAATAATGGAATTATATATATATATATTATAGTTGAAAAGTTTTTCAATTCGACTTTTTCAAAAACGAAACCTCTAATTTCATTATTGTTATATATATATGAAAGTGCACATATAATTGTACATATATATATATGTATATGATATAATGAAATTGTACATATATAAGTATATACACAATATTTATATTATATTATATCGTATATATTATATTTATATTATGTTATATATACATTATATACATATTACTTTTATTATTATATATATTTTATATATATTTATTATTATTTTTATATTATTATATATATTTTATATATAATAATAAAAATAATATTTTATATATATTCATTATTATTTTTATATTATTATTATATTATTATATTATTTTTATATTATATTTTATATATATATATATATTAAGACATGTTTTGAAAAGCAAGCCTCAATTTCGTTCAAATTCTCCATCTTATCTCGAACCACGGAATCCTTCTGATTTCACTGTCACGTCATAAAATTTAAGGCCACAAGGATGTGTTCTCGTCGTTTATCATTTGAAACAACAAAGACACCCTGTACCTGTAATTGCATCGACGAGCGAACGAGCACACGTACACTCACACACACACACACATACACACACGAACAAGCCCCCGGGGCCTGTGTGTAATTACCGTAAGAGTAAGATCGAAGGTAGAAAGCGCGCGGAGGATCGTCTGCTGGCCTTTGCTTTCCACGACGCGCTTCCTGCTACGTTATATAACGCCGCGTCCCGCGAGTGACATTTTCGCTGTTGCTGGTACCGAGAGCTACTGCGGTTTCGTGCGATCACCGTGGTAGAAGGGCGAAAGAAAGAAAGAGAGAAAGAGAGAGAGAGAGAGAGAGAGAGAGAGAGAGAGAGAGAGAGGGCTGCCAGGATGAATCTCGCGGAAATTGAAGAGTAAATCACGGATAATGTCCGGCTGCGGCGCACGGGAAATGGAGGAGCCATCAAGGAGATGCTCCCTCGTGCAAGCGACACAATGCTGGCCGGTTCCCTTCCATCGAGCGAGGAATCTTCGTTAAAACGAAACGTGTCCTCGCATTATCGTTACCGCGGATAGGTAGTTTGCTCAATGATGAATCTTCGGTTGGAATTTCTCCGATCGCTTCCAACATATTGCCGGGGCTAGTCAGGAATGTGTGTACACACGGTGC